CCGACAACGGCCGATGGATTAATTGAAAAATCGTCGGGGGCGAACATTTTACCGGCCGATTGTAAAATATATATTTTACAGTGAGCTTCGACAGCACGATCTCCGTAACGCGAATCCACCCGTTCTATTGTTCTCGTTAATTTTTCACTGACCTCCATTTTTTTCGTCGTTAAACCCCCATAGATAGTGCCCAACACCGCCCAGCGAAATTACATTTCCAATGCTGTTTTTTCTACGATCTGTATCCTCCACGAAACACAGTTGGAGAAACAACAAATTGTATTTCTCAATTCTTCATCCAATATTGGTATTCTTTAATATCTTCAAAAATTCTGTCGCGTGTTCTAATTTTTCAATTTAATTCAAAGGTAGTGTCATACATTTTTAATTTTTAACAAGGATGGTGTATTTTTCTATTCTTTAAATTTGCTGTCTGTGTTTCTCTTTCTTGGTGAAAATTGTTCTCAGCGAAGGCAAAAAAGATGGACCGAGCATTTCGCCGCTAAACCTACCCGTACTTTGTTTCAGGCGAAAATAAAGTAAAGCAAACAACCAGGCAAAGAAGAATAAGGTTCTTTGTTTCGACGTTTTCTGCTCTATGCGGTATCATCCTTTTTCTACTTGCAAATATTCCTACTTCCTTCTTCGTACACGAATGCAACCCCGAGCAAATGCTACTCTTTTTTTTCCAAAAAAGCGTCACCAGATCTATAAACGTGAAAGATTTATAATCTTCTTAAGCCTCTTATCAGTCTTGCAATATTTTGAGAAATAATGAAAAATCGAAATCGCAAAGGATATCATAATTCAATCGACTGTGAAATTTCCCAGTCATTTACATTTGACAAAACACAACAGTTTTGTAGTAGGTGGATTGTTTAATGTAACATATTTGCAACACGATGCAACGAAGGGTTAATGGGTTAACGAAGCAAACATGCTACTACCAGCAAATGGCGAATTCCTCGAGCGTTAAGGGGTGAAATTCCAGGGATTGCTTTCTGTGCTCGCGAAAATACGCAAGTTTCGAATAACCGCGACACGGATCCCATTGAAATCTAATCCCATGGAGGCTCGATACTCGTCACGGAAACTCGACGCCTCGTTCGATTTCCGCCGGTAAAAAAGTATCGTTAGAGGATGTTATTGGACGAGAGGGGAGTCAGAAATTCTATCGATCTATCATCTAATATGAAACTTCACATACGGTGTTCCCCAAATCCCTACGTCTTCAAATTCCCAAACTTTTAATTCGACAAATCCGTTCGAACCCCGATATTAAAAAATCTGTAGGTTTAAAACGAATCGGGATATGCAGAGAAGAGAGCCAGGACATTTTCACCTCTTAGCCCGTTTGGTCACGCAAAATGGAAAGTCGTGGCATCGATTCCCGTGCACCACGAACCTGGAGACGTTGCATGCGCATCCTTGACTCCGACAACCTTTCTGCTTCCGGGGTCAAGGACGCCAGGTGCGAAAGATTAATCGCGCGCGAAAGTTCGCGGCCGAAGGCTCCTGCGATATCGCGAAGGTTGTAGATCCAGCAACGAGATCAAGGAAAAAGGTCTCGATGCTAATTATTCTGCGGGAATTTTGTTCGAGTAGATAAATCCGTTGGTGCAGAAATTTTTAATACGCCATGCGGTCATTGACATTAATTCGATAAAATTGTTAAGAAACATTAACACTGAGTCTTCGATTATTAATACACGATTAAGTGTGAGAGCTGCTAAACGTAATAACCTTTCTATGATATCTAAAAGCTTCATCTCCCCGTCGACATTTTCCCTAGCTTATGTCTCTCGAGGTTAAAAGAGTTCCAAGTATCTCATTTCCAACGATCTGTTCATTCTCAGCGAAGGTTATGCTCGAGAATAAATTTGTCGGCCGTTGACAACTCGATATTTATGATTGATCGAAAAGAAGTGAAAATAAGAAAAGGTATAGTCAAAATGGTGGTGGCCTTGGATATAAGTCTGGCGTAGAAATCTTGATTTGCGGCACGATCGCATTGTTATGCTAATAATATTCTGCCGCGGGCTGCGATAAAGGTTTTCACGAGTCGAGCCGCGAGTTTCTTGGCAATCGCATTACAGATGACAATAAAGATAGACGACGAGCGAAAATAGGGAATCCGTGCTTCATCGAAATGGCTACCGGCCCGAAATGTCGCGTCCGGCCTAACAGTCACTTAAATCGAACTTCAACCCTCGTGCCTGCACGATTTATGCTGATTCCGAACGGTAGATAGCTGCCCCGGAATTTACCGCGGTAAACTTGTATCCCTCTCCGTAATTACGTTTTAGAACACATCGAGAAAATAGTGATTTTCCACAGGATTTATAGTTGTTAATATTTAACGAAGGACAACTGCAAACAAAAGAGACGTTGCAACGCGTGGAGAGACAATGGTGCACTTGAAACGGATTAATAAAATATTTGCAAAGTTTAAACGATTGAAACATTAATTGTCACCGACGAGAACGGGCATCACGATAAATCACGTTGAAATATTAAATATTTTAATAGAAATAATTATAATAGCCGTACGTTTTATAGAATGTACACTGGGTTCTGATAAATATACTTGTATTTTTGCTGCGTCCGAGTTTAATTAAATTTCAAGCTGCTGTCCTGATGCTCGATAGGTTATATTATGTGGACAGCTTTGATCCGAGAACGGATTTTCTCTGGATCTTTGGATCGATGAAAAAGAGGACAAAAGCGAAGAGAAAATCTTTGGCTAAAAATACCGTGTACTATTGTAAACAATGTGGTGAACCGTTAGAGTGTCGAGCGAAATCGAGAAACCGGAGTAAAAATAAAATTCGAAAGAACGTCGAAACGCAGAAATAAACTGTGTGACAGCTATGTGTCCAGGAGGAATTGCGAACAATTTAGATACATACGAGTGAAATATTGAAACTGCGACGGAAGGTACGAGACGATGTAAACGAAAAAGTTTCCGTTGCTTTGATGGGAACACCCGGACTATGGAAAAAGAAGAATATGGTTTTTGAAAGCAGCGTTGAAATTGCAAGAGATCGAAGACGAGGAACAAGGACGATATTGTTGAGAAAACAACGATGGCGCAGGGTGAAGGACGCATTTTGGAGAACTTTGAAAAAGTGGAAATCTCCGTGAAGAGAATATTTGGAATTCGAAGAAAAATAGTGAGAAACGAAATGAGATGCGATAACGATTCGCCGAATACATTACGAATATAAATTTTAATATTTCCAGTGGGAAAAATCACCACGATCGCGAACCACGATCAGAGATTAGCGGTAAATAAGGGAATTGGAAAAAGTTTGGAAAACCGCTAATAGTCTTGGACAAATAAACAAGCCGAAAATGCCTCTCGGACGAGAGCCTGGGCGAAACAAGTAGCTGAACCGAATACCAAAGACCGCGAAGCACAATCAAAGAAAGCTGGCTTATCAAAGAAAGCATCGCAATAGCTCGAGCAGAAAGCAGAAGAGCGAAGAAGGGTGCAAGTTGTAGGTAGAACGGGGGGTGTCGTTCGAAAACACGAGCACCTCTATCCCGCTGAAGAAAGGAAGCATCGAGAAAGCGAGAGGGTTGCAACGGGCGTAGAGACAGGGAAGGGAAACTGCGTCGACGAAGAGGGCGCGTGTCGCGGGAGGGAGGAACGAGGAGGGCGGAGGGGTTCGAGGGTGAGGAGGTTAGGTTAGGAGGGCCAAAAGAGAGAGGGGTGTAACGGGTGGGACGGATGCGTAGAGGGCGATTCGAAAGAGAAAGAGAGATTCGATCGCGAGGAGTAAGAAAGAAACGGCGGCTGCTCGGGGCGAAGAGGGAGCGCGATAGGAGGGAGGGCAGGAGGAGAGCGAGGCTGCGGCGTAGCCTCAGTGCCGGCGCAGTGGCCGGGCCATCGTGTCCTGTGCCTAGCTTTCCGTGCTCTCTTTTCTCCGATCCTGTTCGAACGTCGTCCACGGTATCCCCAGGGACGCGTCGTCCTCTCTTTTCTACGGTGCGCTGAATCCCGAGGACCCTCGAAATCCGCCGCGTTCGCGACCACCGAGTGTTTCGTTCGTCCGGGATGAGAATCGTCCTCGTCGGATGTGATGCGTTGTCGTGACACTCGCGGAGGTCCTGCCGCGTAGGACCTCTCTCTCCCCCGGTGCTACTTGTCCAACTGGTGATCCTTTCACGTGGACGATCCTCGTTTTTCTTCGTCCGATCGTTGTCGAGGTGGCTGGTTAGCGGGAAACGGACAGGACGAGCGGAAGAGGAAGGACACCCTGCCGGGCAGCTGCCGGGAGGATCACAGAGCGAAGAGGTGGGAGCCATGCCGCCCGGGCGAGCTTCCCTCGAGGTAGCCAGGATCGTCCAGCATCCCTGTCCTTCTGGTCGCCTCTGTTGAGGTAAGACGTGCCCCTTTTTTCCTTATTTAGCCGACTAACCACCTCTCGTCGACCGGCTGCACTGCGACGCGGACCTCGATGTTTTCGATACTCCTCCTCGAGGACTCGGTCGATCTGACAGTGCACGAACGAGATGACACTCGAGTTTCAAAAGGTTCTGTTGAACCGATGCCTCGTTTAGAGGCTGATCAAACGATCCTAGTGCCTCTTCATAGGTTAGGACCTTTCGGCTGAAGGGTTCTTCAACGATCTGGAGCTTAGGGCTACCTACGTGTGTCGTTTGGACAAGGTTCACGATGTTCTTCGGCGTTAAACACGTGCGTGATTCGAATGACCGTGCTGTTTGGGGAATTTGGATTTCTCTCGGTTGGATTATAGTGATGTTGCGTATCGAATTTTGCTAGGGGTTCTCAGAAGCACTCGTGAATAGGTTAAGTCCTCGGGACCTTGCGGTTCAGTGTGGATATACCTGTTTTCCGGCTTTCAGTGAGTTCATACATTCACTGCCGTTGTGCAAATTACTGTGTTGTATGTTACGTATCAAATATATCAGTTATTAAATGGAGAGCTGTTATATTTTTTCAATTCAACGTGTTCGAGGCTGCGGCGTAGCCTCAGTGCCGGCGCAGTGGCCGGGCCATCGTGTCCTGTGCCTAGCTTTCCGTGCTCTCTTTTCTCCGATCCTGTTCGAACGTCGTCCACGGTATCCCCAGGGACGCGTCGTCCTCTCTTTTCTACGGTGCGCTGAATCCCGAGGACCCTCGAAATCCGCCGCGTTCGCGACCACCGAGTGTTTCGTTCGTCCGGGATGAGAATCGTCCTCGTCGGATGTGATGCGTTGTCGTGACACTCGCGGAGGTCCTGCCGCGTAGGACCTCTCTCTCCCCCGGTGCTACTTGTCCAACTGGTGATCCTTTCACGTGGACGATCCTCGTTTTTCTTCGTCCGATCGTTGTCGAGGTGGCTGGTTAGCGGGAAACGGACAGGACGAGCGGAAGAGGAAGGACACCCTGCCGGGCAGCTGCCGGGAGGATCACAGAGCGAAGAGGTGGGAGCCATGCCGCCCGGGCGAGCTTCCCTCGAGGTAGCCAGGATCGTCCAGCATCCCTGTCCTTCTGGTCGCCTCTGTTGAGGTAAGACGTGCCCCTTTTTTCCTTATTTAGCCGACTAACCACCTCTCGTCGACCGGCTGCACTGCGACGCGGACCTCGATGTTTTCGATACTCCTCCTCGAGGACTCGGTCGATCTGACAGTGCACGAACGAGATGACACTCGAGTTTCAAAAGGTTCTGTTGAACCGATGCCTCGTTTAGAGGCTGATCAAACGATCCTAGTGCCTCTTCATAGGTTAGGACCTTTCGGCTGAAGGGTTCTTCAACGATCTGGAGCTTAGGGCTACCTACGTGTGTCGTTTGGACAAGGTTCACGATGTTCTTCGGCGTTAAACACGTGCGTGATTCGAATGACCGTGCTGTTTGGGGAATTTGGATTTCTCTCGGTTGGATTATAGTGATGTTGCGTATCGAATTTTGCTAGGGGTTCTCAGAAGCACTCGTGAATAGGTTAAGTCCTCGGGACCTTGCGGTTCAGTGTGGATATACCTGTTTTCCGGCTTTCAGTGAGTTCATACATTCACTGCCGTTGTGCAAATTACTGTGTTGTATGTTACGTATCAAATATATCAGTTATTAAATGGAGAGCTGTTATATTTTTTCAATTCAACGTGTTACGCCGTGAAAATGAAAAATATTAAAATACTGGAATTTGGAGATATTAAAGTTTCAATGTACATACGTATTGATTTCTTTGTTTTCAAACACTATTTCATTGCATGCTGGCAAGATTTCTTGAATCTACATTTATGTAACGAAACCAATTCTCATGTCACATTCCACGCATTTTCCTATCCATCACATTCGGATCGTTTCTTGAATCTACGTTTATATAACAAAGCGACGATATCAGTGATCGTATCTACATCGTTCCAAGTGGTATTTCCGCATGATTCATTTTTTGTGCAATCCAATCATCGAAAGAAGTCCGAGCAATTTCTACGTAGGGATATACAGGGTAGAGAGTTTACGAATCGATTTCGTAAGCGATTTCCAGGCGGAAGAGTCGGTGACGGCCCTCGAAAAGTCACTTCCGGTAGACCTACTCGCGTTCATATCGGCGATCATTGTCGTGTTATTTTTAACGGACGATCATAGGAGTCCCCTACTATCGAAATACACAGCAGACGCAGATATTTATAGAAGTCGAAACGATATTTCTATCGTGGAACAGTGCGAGTCACAAGTGGCTATTAACCCTCGCGACATTAAGCCCTCTTTCTATATAGAGTATCAAGAGTACTCCATGATTATCGAATAAATCTATACAGTAATTAACTCAAAGTTTATATCATTACCCTTCTGTATTCGGTGTTTTACGCAATATGCGTTTACGATGACAAAACACGATAAAACGACAGATGCAATATTTCAAATTTATAACATTTTACGTAGCATACTTATGACAAAGGGATGAAATCAGACAAATCTGCCATGACAAAATAAACACGTATAAACATTCAGTTTGGATGCGAGAGTTTTTGCAATAAAAGTTTTTACGTATTTCCACGATGAATCTCGAAATGGTAACGCGACGATCATAAAGTCGTCCCTCCACCCTCCCTTTTGGAACTGCGTTTATTACGATGAATTATCGTTTTATCGGCGAATTAACCTTTTATACGAGGATATAAAAATGAACAAAAGCAAAAGCTTTGTTTGTATTCATCCCCTCTCTCCCTGTTCGCTATTCCATTTACTTTTTCCTCCTCCTCTGCGTTCCGCAAACAGAAGTTGCAGCATTTCCGTTTACGTTCCTATCCCTTTTCTGTTTTGATCGCGAACTTCCAGCTTTTACGAGTAGATTACCGTTTCGCGGCCATTCAACAGAGGCCAGGGATCGATTCAGTCGGCAGCGAGAAGCATTCTTCCTATCCAGTCGGTGTTTAAAAGGTTTTTAGCGAACGTACCGGCTGCTCGCTGCTAATTTTGCGCCCGATTGCTGCTCATGATCCTGACGATTGTACCTAATGTATCCTACTGCGTGGTCTTTGATCTTTGATAGAAATCTAGGGATTCAGATATAGAGAAGTGGCAGTCCACGGATCGATAGGGACGTTGACATTTAGGAACATGGTTAAAAATATTTTCAGAAAGTTGAAATAAAAAGTATCCAATAAATAAGAAGAATTTTCATACACAATTCGCGCAAAGTTTCAGCCTAGAAAATTTAATACAACCAACACAACGACAATAGCGCGTAAAGTTGTTTTCAAGCGGCTAATGGAATTCGAATGGAATTTAAAGTCGGGAACGAAGTAAAACTCTAATTAAATTTGAACCCGAGGCCGTGTCCAACCGTTGCCAGGTTAATTCGTGAATTTAAAGAAACCTGCGACAAATCGCTTCCAAGCGAGCGAGCATACGACTCGGCACATAAATTTACAATTCTTCAATTTGCAGTTACCATTCCATTACGCTTTAGGCACAGTAGATATTTATATCACATAAATCTTCGATTCCGACATTTACAATTATTATTCTGTTAGAGAGGCACAAAATTTTCAATTGTCATCCCACTTTCAATTAAAATCGAAGGAAAGAACGCTTACAGAAAGATACAAGAAGTTGGAACGAAATCTAAACTTGTAATAATCCAAGTTCAAATTGAGTCCGAAACAAAAGACGGGAGTTGTTGCTTGTAATTGTCTCATGGATTCTGAGAAAGTTTAATGGAACCTTCGTTACTTTTCAATTTCCTAATCGCACGGGTATCTCGTTAAAGTTCAATCTTATTTCTGAAGTACACAAGAGCATAGGAAACGTGACGGTGTTCGATTAATCGATGTACTTGTACGACTAATCGAATCATCCCGTCGCTCAAACCAGGCGATGAGTGGAATTAGGATGTAACCTTGTTATCCGCTTGTTTCCGTAATTTTTTTTAATCTCGTTATGACGGAAGTGTTATCACGAAATTTTCAATAAACTATAATCTCCTTCCGGATGATAATCAACAAGACGAGAACGATTGACTCTCAAGTTATTTCCGTAACCTTTACGAATCGATGGTATAGAAAACTGCTGAGACTGTCGGAATCTCGAGTGATATTAAAACGTCCGATCGTTTTCGCGTCAGCCGCGAAGCGAAATCAACATACCTGGCTCCTCTCGGCAGATAACACGGCGTTAACGAGCTCTAATTCGCTGTAATCCGGAAAGCAGCAAATTGAAAGCGAGCAGAGACGGCTATCTTCTATTCAGGAGCTTTTCCATCCAGAGTCCTCTAAACGAGGGAGCCCCGACAATGAGAACGGGACCGGAAAAAGAAAAGCGTCGATTCGCGCTGGGGAGTGCAAAAAACGCGGCGGCTAATTTGCAAAACAGCCAGCAACTGTTTCGTTTCCACGGCAGATGAATATTCTTTTGCAATTTTGAAACTGTTATATAAATGCGATGATATTTTAGACCGTAACCCGTGATGCTCACCTTCCTTGAAATTTTAACCCGACTCTGTAACTTATGATTCATTCCGTTCTGTATACACAGGATGTGCAGTCTAAGTATCAAGTCGCGTTCTCATGAATTTTACAAAAAATGTTCGGAGGGAAGTTACTTACCCCTTATGCGACTATAAACAGCGATAAAAATGTTTCGAAAACTTTCTTCTCTTTTAGCGGAATACGTCGTCATTTTTGACGCCGTATCACAAATCGTATTAAACATCGAGTATTTTTATGAACAACGATGGACTTAAAAATCGATAGCGAATATTTAACGGGTTCCGTTAAAATCATTAATCTCGAACACGATCAAACTTCCGAATAATAGGTCGTCGCGAGAAAAAGGGAATCGATTATCGGGATAACGCGATGGAAAAAGAGAGAGAGAGGTTTCAGCAGCGTAACGAAATCGCTTTCTATCCTTTCCGAGTGTATTTCACGCACGAGATCAGGGTGGTACAAGGGAGAGGGTGGAATTTAGGATAGAAGAGGGGTTACAGGGGGCGAGCACGAAGAGGAAAAGTTCGAGTTGGACCAGTAGTGGGATCGATAGTTCTGTCATAAGCCAGCACGAGCAACAAAACCGCACGCGTCAGCCTTAGCCGGTTGCGGTTTCACGATAACGATTCAATTTTTCCCGCAGGAAAATCTTATCCGTCCTATTATCCTAGGCTAACTTTCCCTATACCCCTTTATTTCACCATTTTTCCTACCATTCGCGATCCTGCGATGGAAATTTTTCATAACATTTCCAGCTCCGGGCTGGGTGTGGTTCGGACCATTTTTTAAATCCATTATAATCCTTCCGTTAAAATCTTTTCACTCCGTATATTCGCCTGCATAATAAGAACGTTTACCGTCAATGCTATCATTGTATCTTTATACAGCGCAGATTCAATATATCGCTTAATTTTGTTCAAGGTCAATTTAACTTTGCGAGGTTATGAAAGGTTATAGGCATCGGTGTACAATAAACGACAAACTCAATAATAACGCTGGCGCAGTTCCGCAGCAAGCTTAAAAACAGGAGTATGAAAGAAAGATGAAATCAATGCGTGGTGTCCGGAGAAAAAGTTCCTTCAACATTGTTAATTACCGAAGCACGGTGCAATGCCGCTTTATTAACGATGATTTACTGCAAATTGACACGGCAGCATCGCGCGTTATTGCCGACAACGCGAACCAGCCACTTTTTGCCAGTTAATAATCGCTCGACAGTGGCCATCGATCCTCCTCGCCAACTGGATAGAACTCCCGGAATCTCAATTTTCTTCTGTTTACCTTCGTTTTCATTTCTTCTTCCGTTATCCTCGATAACTAATATTCGAACCTGTTTTCTCTTCGAGACTTTATATTATGTTGCGAGAACAAGAAAAAATACAGTCTACGTTTCAACTGTACAGCTCTCCAACTTTTTGCGATCGACCACCTGCAGTATCCCGTAAACGCAACAACACCTCTTCTTTGAACTGCAAATGTGACCAATTGAAAATAAATCATCCTCAAACATCGCTACCATCGGAAAGTGGCCTATAGAGGATCGTACAAAGGCTCGAACAAACGCAAACAAGCGCACA